TAACCAATAGCTGAGATGCAAGTGGTGATTGATAGCCAAGAAGCAAGCCACTGGGTTTTCGTCCGGGAAAATTTTTCATAAAAAAACATGTTTTATGGATGTTATCAATAGGTAAAATTGTTTTTGTACGTTTTATATAAGAAACGAACCATTCAGTAAAGCCTGCGACATTAGGATGGGTCTCTATATTTTCAAGAAAGAGTTCAAAGGTGGACTAGAAACCACTTCCTACAAGGACGACATCCGTCCTCCTTTTAAACATAGCACCATTTGTGGCGCCTATAGAAAGTTGTGTTGGGGAGGGAGGCAACGTGACTCCCATTCAAACGGCCGCATTTTCTAGTGAACCTAAAGTTAATAGACATTAATATGCTTAAGTTTTTTTTTTTTTTTAATAACCAAGCCGCTTTTAAGGATTCCTTGCTTTTCGATTGTAATGTGCGTGCTAACTGGTCAGGGAATGACTTTTAGGAAACTTCAATCTAGATAGTTCGAGATGAGTAATTTTATGTTCATCCTATCTATATCCTAAACTAAGAATTAGGCATGTTTCTAAACTGAAAAAGTGTTTAATTCATACTTATGTTCAGATAAATATGTAAAATCCGTTATTCTTGAGTTTCTGTTTTTTTTTTTTTGTTTTTGATTAAACCCCGTCTGCTTTTTGATTCTAAGAACTTTTTCTTACGTCTTTTCAATCAATCCGGACGGATCGTTAGTCATCACTCTTAGGGTTTGCTAGATCAGCCTTCTTGGTGGGCTGATGGAAGTATAAACCGATATCTTTGAGTAAGGAATAATAAGCGTGCTGAACTTTCTAGCTTGAATTACACGTTGATGCGCTTTACGTACACTTTCAGAAATAAAAAAGTGTGTATTAATACACCCTTTGCTCCTTATAAGACACCCAAAAACTTCATTTCGACGTACAGCGCACTGACGTCGATCTGACGGTAGTAATTTTCGCGAGAGGCTTGATAGCCGTGTGTTAAAACTTATTAAAATATGCTAATGTACGTTTTACGGACTACAAAAAAATTATCGGGGTTTTCTTAGCCCTGGTGCAAGACCTGACTGTTTCCTTCCGTGGTGTTTGATACGTATTTTAGCCATTTAGGCCCGCTTCAGACGGGACAACTTCATCCAGCAACTTGACGTCGCAACACGAGCAACACGGGCCGCCCGCGTTCACACGCAGCAACCGAATTGCTACGACTTGCCATCATCACCATAAAACTTTATTTTTCTTGCACTATCCAGACGCACAGCTACGCGCTAAAAACGTGTTTTTATATCTTTGAATGGCGTTGAGAATACTAACTCATCTTTCTTAAAAGGTTTATTTCCAAAAGCGACCCTTTTCAAACCAGAACTAAGTCCTTAGCTGTTACCATCACCACCACAGGGGTGTCACGTGAAAATATTGCGTCCCTGATTGGCTGCTGCCGCTTTAAACGTCTCCGAGTTGTTCGAGTTGCTTGTCCGTTTCGAGAGGGCCGGACTCGATCTCAGCACTTCGTGTCGATCTAGAGAAAGCTAGGGAACAACCCGCCAGGCAACCCCGAAATTGCTGGAAAAGTTGCCCCGTCTGAAGCGGGCCTTAATAAGTTATATCGCACCGTTAGGAAGCCCCTCCTAACATTTCGGACCACCTGTTCGACTATAGTGCGCTGTACATGGAACTGAAGTTTTAGCGTGCATTATATGGGACAAAAGCGTGCGCGGTGACACCCTTTTGTTTAGAGTGTAGTTCCATGGTGGCTTGTAGCGACGAAACCGCCTTTCGCGCAACACTGTCTCCGGAGGAGGCAGGCACGCACCGGGGATACCCGACACCAGCTCAGAAAAGGGGGGGGGGGGGGGGCAGCCGCGGGCCTGACGGGCAGACTTCCGTGAGTGTACAATGTACACTAAACAACTCAACAAGGAGAGGAAAGACCAGATGCTTCGTGGGCAACGCCCGGTTAGGCCCGTTTCAGACGGGCCGATTTCGCCCAACAACTTGACGTCACAACACCAGCAACACGGACCGCCCGCGTTCACGCGCGGCTACCAATAGCTGCAGCTTGCCATCAAAATTATTAAATATTATTTTTCTTACAGTATTTAGGGGCATATTTACGCGCTATAAACGAGTTTTTATTCATTTAAATGTCGATGAGAATACTAATGCATCCTTCTGAAACGGTTTATTTCCAAAAACGACCAATTTCAAACCAGAACCAAGTTTTTAGTTGTCATCATCACCGACACGGGGAATCAGGTGAAAATATGGTGTTTCCGATTGGCCTGCTGCCGCCTCAAACGTCTTCGAACTGCTCCGAGTTGCTCGCTTGTTTCGAGCCGGACCCGATCTCAGCGATGCGTGCCGATCTAGGGAAAGCTAGAGAACAACTCGCCAGCAACCTCAAAGTTGCTAGAAAAGTTGCCCCGTCTGAAGCGGGCGTCAGGACCATACTTGTACACGTTACTGAAAAATAGAAACCGATAGCAATTACAATTACCTCCTTCTAAATAGTAACCGATTGCAATTACAATTACAGCCTCAAAACTGCAATGGCAAAAATGACTCTAAAGTAATCGACTACTTCCCTCGTTACTTTTCACAAACTTTTCTTTATTACAATGGCACATATACACCTATTTTAAATAGGTATCCCGCATTTATATACTCATCGTTTGCTTGTCCTCTGCACCTTGTTAAGTTTCAGCAGCAGTTGTCCCTCGAAGTTTGCGTCGGTAATTTTCCCTTGTTTCTTCGTGAAGACGTCAGCCGCAACTTTGAAGACTCTCTCCACAGACGCACTAGAAGGAAGTGCGGTGTTATACCGTACGAACACTTTGTGCGCCATTCTCATTGCGCGAAGCTTCGACTCGACACATGTCTCCGAGTCGTACAGACACGACGTGCTTCATTGCTGTTGGTGTTTGAAGAAGACGCTCCGGGCAGCGAAAAGCCAAAGAAATAGTCCGTGGTGTAGAAAAAAAATTTTTGAAGTACTGTAAAGGCCCGTTCACACTCTTGCGCTCTTGCGCTCTTGCGACCGACAAGGACCGGCTGAGACAAGACCGGTTTTTAAACCTCTTGCTACGGATTAGGACCGGCCCCGCAGCAGCGGATCTGGTCCAACGCAGTCGTGAGAGGCTTAAATACCGGTCTTGTCTCGGTCGGTCCTACTCACTTGCGAGTGTGAGAACGGGACTCAACAGTCAACAGCTTACTAATCCTTAAAGTCTTGCACTGGATCCCCCCCCCTTCCCAACCAAAAAAAAAAAAAGAAAAAAAAGCCTTGACCGTTTTGTCTAAAGCTGAGTGAGTGGCGCAATTACACCCAATGCTCTTGTGAAAAAAGAATAGTAAAAGTAACGTTGTTTATCTGCATTACTCACAAGAGCCTGAATAAGGTCATTTATCATACCCAAACGCAGCCTCCGGTGTACGAGAAAAAATGCACTGAGGGAACGAAGCATAGTGAAGTGGCCTACTGATTCTCGAGGACCTGCGCTTAATTGTATCGAAAAAGAAAAAAAAGAAAACACAAAAAAACATTGACTGTTTTTGCCTAGAGCTCAGCTACTCAAACACAACTATAGCCCCCCCCAAAAAAAAGGAAAAAAAGAGGAATATTGTAATGGGTAATTTTGTAATCGATTACAGCAAAAAAGTAATTGAACTCCTAGGGTGGTTTCTCCTTAAGGAAAATAAATGAAACATTTCGTCGTTTACCCTGAGACTGGGGTTTTTTTTGAAGAGCAAAAGTAACAGAAAATACAGACAGGTCTCAAACTCAACTACAAGTTTATTTCAACTTCCTCTTATATAGTTCGTTCTCGTCGTCACCCCACTCTATCACAAAAGAAGCGGACAGTCCCAACGCTTCCAAGTGAAAAGGTTCTAGCAGAAGATATGCTTCACAAAAACTTCAAGCAACTCTTTTGTGTCCTCACAATAAACAGGACAACAGCCCACAACAACATCCTCCTCAAAACTGGTCACAGGAAGTTGTTGAAATAAACTTGTAGCTGAGTTTGAGACCTGTCTGTTTTTTCTGTTGCTTTTGCTCTTCAAAAAAAACCCCAGTCTCAGGGTAAACGACGAAATGGTTGACTTCCACCAGCTAGCCTGTACTTTGACTCTTTTCTCGTTAAAAATAAATGAAGCGTTACAAAATTAAAGTAAAATGTAATTGATTACAAGCAATCCATTACTTAAAACCCGTTACGTACAAGTCTCGAACTTAGGACGCATGAACATTGCTCGCAGTTTTAATCTCGTTTTTCTTATTTAATTTTTCGAGAAATGAAACGTATTCAGTAGAAAATTGATTGCATCAACAGTTAATATGTTGTTCCTTGTCACGTGGCCCTCCAGCGGTTAGTTTTATATAAATAACTCTCGCACTCCTTTTAAACAAAAAAATGTTTGTTTCTCCACGCTCCGATCCTAAAGGCAACCTTATTAACCCTAAGGGATTCCTTTTTGAGCCCTCGGTTATGTTGGTTTCATAAAGCTTGAGACTGAGACATTTTTATCATAGGACGTATATCAGGGTAAAGAAAATTTTTTTTTTGCGATTTTTCTGACATTTTATTTACCAGGCACGTTGCGACGAAGCGAGCATATCTTTATAGGCGGCAGAGAAACAACCTTATAAGCGGCTTGTTTATTTTTTTTCGCGAGAATACAGCAAACATGGCCAACAATTATTTATATACCTTAATTTTCAGACATATCGGCAGTCAGTAAAAGTCTGGCTAAAGGTAGTATTTGTGTGTTTCAAAAAATAACATTCAGATAATTAAGAATCGAGCCTTTGCTTTAAATTTCAAGCAGTGCATATTTTGCGTGGTATACGTTTTGTCTAGGGTAACATGGTGAAGCAATACGTCTACGTCAGGTATACTACTGTGCTCCTGAAATATAATAAGATACATACATTATGCAATAATTAGCTTCTCTGGAATATGTATGCTCTTCACTTATTCATCTCAAATTGCAGGTCTTTATTGTTCAGCTGGATTGGTTGCACCAAGTTCAAGTGACGGTGAGTGAAACATAAATTAGTCTGTTATTTATGCTTCCGACTCTCAGCGAGTACACTTGCATCTAAAACGGTTGCATTTGAACTATATAAAAAAAAAATCGAAATATAACTCGAGCCTAAAATGTGAGCGTATTAATCCGAGTCACGGTCAAGGTTGCGAGTCATTCCAATTTTACTTTATTTAGATACCCCCCGTGATGTTCACATGTTATTGGTGTTGCAAATGTCTGTGCCTTGGTGGTGATGCAAGCGCGAGATGGTTGGAGTTTTGCGTCGCGGCGGAGAAGCGCTATTCTAAAACTTCCTTACGTAGCGTGCTCTAACGCAAGCGCTATCTTTAGCTCTAGTGTCCGTCAGAATTGTGAACGTTATTCTAAAATCTCATAGTCTTTCGCCAACGCTTTACTCTGCGTTCACGCCAACACTCAACTTCAGCGACACTCTCCTGTTACCCTGTGTTATTCTATTATTTTTTTTTGTTTTCTTGGCAGACGTTCTCCACATTAAGCGTTTAGCTTCTGTTTCTCCATTTGTCGCCTCATCAATTGTCATTTGTGACAATATGAAAAAAAAAACGTGTAAATAAAATGTATCAACATTAAGCCCTTCAATGTACTGTAATTAACACTACTCATTATGTGCTCTTCAATAGTCGTAGCAAAACTCTATGTAGATGAATGTGAAGGAAAAAATATCTTCCAAAAGAATGAACAACGGGCCTTCAGAACTGAATCTAATTACACCTATAACTTTTAATCTACGATTCCAAAACTATTTTATAGGTCTTGAATTCGTTTCGTAAAAATATTATTTCTTACACATTGGTTCCTTAATTTATAAATTTACACAAATATAATTTCATCGCCCATTTTTCACATTGGAAGCTAATAAGCATAAACTAATATATTCAGATCCTGAGCATTGATTACACCTTTTCGATAAAACGTGTTATGCCCCATTTCATGATTGGGATTATTGTTTCACCTAACAGCGATTTTAATATTTGTTCCACAGAAATTAAATATTACGAGGACGAACCCTGGGTATTCTGTCTAGATCCTGACAACGTAACATGTCCAGAAGACGGAACGCATGCCTCATACAATCGAAATACGGGTATGTGTGAACTAAAGAATGGAAGCGACTGCGGAGGAGGTGAAAATCACTATCCAACCCTGGAGAAGTGCAATTCCTCTTGCAACAGTAAGTTGTTTGTAAAATCTGGATTTGCTTTAGCTTCGCAAGTGTTGTGTTTCCAGTATCTTTTAAAAAGAAGTAGGATCTGCTACTGCCAGGTGAACGTTTTGTTTGTGTAGGAGTACCTTTATAAGAACTAAACGATCTCAAAATTTGGTTGGATGTAAGAACCACACGAAGCGTAGCAAATAATTCAGATATTTTTTTCTTAAATTGTGTTCTGACCTGAATCCACAGTGCTTCAAAAAAGGTGCGCGAATGATTTCTTATCTTGGTTTCTCTCGTTAACCTTTTAATTTTTGCATCGAATTTTTCGTCGTAAATAAAAAGTTGTTAAATTTGAATTTAAAATATTTCAAAAATAATTTGAAAGAAAATGTGTATGAAGTGTATTTATTTATCCGACCGTGGTTTCAAGCACGTATCTTGGAAGTTCAAATATTGCATAACTAGCATTTCCAGCTGTTTAAAAAATGCAATAAGAACTCTTTTAGCCTAAGAATGAACTTCTTAGGTTAGCGAAGTACGATCGGGTAAATTTTTATTCAGCACCAAATACAATATTGTCCTAGGGGTTTTGGCACACGCCACATACAATTATCCCAGTATTGTAACAAGCGAGGATGGAACATGGCCAGCGTGCAGGAACGAAGGGATCTGTTCATGCAGGGACGCTATAAATGCAAGCAGGGAGGCCGCTGACATCACCCCAGTTTGCGAGCACAACAACTGGTACATCTCAATTTCTTGGAGCTCGAAATACATACAAACACGAAGTATTCGGAATTCTTCTTAGGCATGATGCTGGATTTTTTCGTTATAGTGCAGCCGTTGGGAGAATGTAGAGTTAGGGTTGACGTCCGGGTACTACCGGCCACTCCTGGAGGCACTTCCGCGGTGAGATCTGCAGGAGCTCTTGAGGTTTCCGCTGGAGTCACTGCAGGGGATATTGTCACGAACGAATGTTAATGAAACGACGAAAACTGAAAGAAACTAAATGTTTAATGGGGTGAACTTGTGCCCAAAACAAAAAGGAAACCGAAGAAAGCAATTAAGCGTCGCGGGAGTCGATAGCGGCGTAACAGCAGGATCGATCGCTGGGGCTAGACTGACTCCTGCTCGCCACGCGGAGTACCTTTTGTACCCGCGTGTGCCTCTGGAACATTCAGCCTAGAACATTCGGTGCGTAGAACATTCGGAGAACAATCAGACGAGGATGTTCTTGAACTTACGAGAACGCCAAATAATAAATAAAAATGCAGACCGCTAGCTGGAATCGAACCTAGACCGTTCGCGCGACAATCAAGCACTGTAACCATTTGGCCACGCACGTGCTCGCTCAGCGAAGCGCGTGGTATTACTCCCCCCTTTAAAAGCGCATCGTCTCGATGCGACGTGCTGGGAAACAAAACAGCCAACATACAAAACCAATGGCAAACTACGTAGACTTGTACAACAGAATCCTATCTAGCGTGTTAGAAAACTCAATTCACAGTCCTTTCGATCGTAGTACGGCTTGAGGCGTATGACGTGGATGACTTCCGGTCGTGGAGGGCGGCGTGATGAAGTCCGTGCTCCGTCGGGCTACGCCTCATAGTTCAGATCCCGATTAGACGAAGCACTTTGTAGGGTCAAAAGTAGCGCTTCAGGAGTTTCTCTGAAAACGGAACAGGTGTACGCAGCGTCAGTCTGTTTTCTCCAAGGTTGATGACGGCGCCGTATTCACAAAGAAAGTCCATGCAGAGAATGGCGTCTCTGGAAAAGACTTGTAGAACAACAAATTTCACAGGACACGTCTCGCCGTGAATTTGGTCGTGAGCAGTGAACCTTCCGATAGGCGTGATGAGGTGTCCTCCAGCGGTTCGTAACTGCGGTTCATCACACGGCGTCGCGACTTCTCGAAGGCGGCGAGAGAGCCTCCCACTCAAGACTGAGTAGTCTTCTTCGGTGTCAACGAGTGCCGATACGTCGTGGCCGTCGATAACAATGCTTAAGTTGTTGGGCATCGTTGCCGGACTGTCGTTGCGAGGCGTGACGTGGTAAGAGTGGAAGTGCTCCGGCGTTTGTGGAGGCTCTTTACGTCATCGGTCCAAAGCAACGTCACCTCCAGGAGTTGCCGCGTGTAGTTATCCCGGTGGGAAAATGGCGACAGGCTCTCACGACGGGGTCGGTGCATTGGCGAAACCGGGCGTCGTGGTGAGGGCGACCGAGAACCACGGCTAGGTGTAGACGGTGGTGACTGAGGTCGTCGAAGGTGCTCTTCTATCTCTTGTGGTCGCTCACTGTAGCGTGGGCGTGGGTCGTCCGGGTGGAAGCCGCGCAGCCCCATTTGCCGGTAGGGGCAACGGCGGTAGATGTGGTCGGTTTCCCCGCAGTGGTCGCACAACGGGCGTCGATCGGCCGTCCTCCACACGTCGGTCTTCCTCGGCGAGGGTTGCTCCGGGCGGACGTACTGAATTTGTCCTTCTTGGCGTCGAGGATACTGCGGCATCGGAGGGTCTCGTCGGGGTGGTGCCGTGACCTGGAAGTTAGCTTGAGGCGGTCGTCGGGCCATGGCGTCGTAGGTCAGCGTCGGTGCTTCGGGTGCGGCCACGGTGAGAGGAGCATCCGGTAGGAACGCTCGCCGAACCTCGTCTCAGACGACCTCGACCGACGACGGGTGGAGTGGTCATCGTCGCAGTCTTCTTTGATTTCTATGGCAGGCGTCCCAGTTCCGGGGGTAGGTCTTGGTTGCGGCGTCTTGACCGGGCCTTGGTCTAGTCTTCTGCGAAGGGTAGCCTCCCAGGGCTGAGCACGTCACTGGGCCGGCGTGTTTTCGGAGGGGTACGGTTCACAGGCATAGAATGCAACTACTCCGCACCTCCATCAAAATGTCACCACCAAATGTTAATGAAGCGACGAAAACTGAAACAAACTAAACGTTTAATGGGCGAACTTGTGCCCAAAATAAAAAGGAAACAGAAGAAAACTTTTGAGCGTCGCGGACGTCGATTGCAGCGTAACAGCAGGGTGGATCGCTGGGTCGAGACTGACTCCGGCTCGCCACGCGGTGTACCTTTTGTACCCGCGTGTATCTCTGGAACATCCAGCCTAAAAAATTCGGGGCGTAGAACATTCGGAACTCGATCAGAGGATAATGCTGTCGAACTTACGAGAACGCCAAGTTGAAATAATAAATAAAAATGAAGTCCACTAACTTGAATCGAACCTAGACCGTTCGTGCGACAGTCAAGCACTGTAACCATGCATTCGGCCACACACGCGCTAGCTCAGCGACGCGCGTGGCATAATGGTTGCTGCACCGCCTTGCTGCACCGCTTTGCTGCACTTTTAGGGTCACTGCAGCGGACACAACTTGAGCTCTAGCCGAGGTGCTTGTTGACGATACATCCACGTATTCCTCCAAGATTTCGGCACGCACAAAGTCTTCGTTCGTCGGGAGAACGCGCCCACTGTTCGGTCAAAACTTTCGCCCGTCTTCCGTGATGATGAGCAACGAAGTGGACGATGCCACGTTTGGAAACACTTTATTTTTAGTATCCCATCGACCTATCTCCCTTACCTTCCATTGGTGCCTGAGGAGACTTCCCTTGTGACTTTTCGGTCTGCCTTTCTTGGCTAGCGTTGAAACTGTCAGCGAGGAGTCTGGTGGGAAGGGGGGGGGGGGGAGGGGAGGGGGGTGCAGGGACCTCATTTGGCGTCTTATTAGATGCTCGCTGGGAAAACGGCCGTCGTCCAGTGGCGTCGACGTGCAACCGAGCAACCGCAGCCAGAGATACTCATTAGCTGTAGAAGTGTTCTAGAGTATTCATTTTATTGTACACCCTTTTCCGCCAGTCTATTGCAGCGCGGGGCGGGGGGGGGGGGGGGGGTTGGTGCTGATGAAGCTTCAGCCCCCCCCCCCTCTCCCCCGATATCTCGACCCTGTATTTCCATGCGGTCAGGGGGGCGGGGGAGCTTTTGAATATTATTTGACACTTTGCTTCCTCGAGAATTCGTAGACGAGCTCTACAGATCTGATCACCGCAGCTGTAGCGGCTCCGCTTTAAGACCTTGTACCCCTCGAAGAGCAGAGAATATATAAAACACCAAAGAACAAGCGCAGAACTCAGGCGGTGTTCCACCGGCGATGACGAGAAGCAAAGGTTTGAAAGTACAAACGAAAAAATAAGAACAATAACAACAAAAGTGTGTGGAGCAGAGTGAAGAGTACTAATGCAGTGTGCCGGTCAATTTTATTTCACCTTTTGTTTTTAAAGCGTCGTAAAGTTAAGACTCCGTTTCACCTTATGATCTACCCCAGAAGACGCTAGGAGTCAGTGAAGCCATACCAATGACTTCTGTTGAAGAACCCTGAAAAGAATGTTTTGTAAACAGTCTGTTTGAGACACGCATGTCAAGAAATTAATCTCACCCGAAACAATTTTTTAGAGCAATATTTATGGCGCGAGACCCGACTTAGTCAGTACTCACCTCCTTTCGCCTTGTTTTTCTCTCGGTATTTCGGGCGCGTAAAGGAGTGGTGGATCGGCCTGGCCATCACGTTGGAGTGGAGAGAGCGTATGACCATCTCGTTGAGATGGAAAGAGCGTATGATGATTCCATGACGTAATGAATTTTGCGCTCAACTTTTAAAATAAATCTCGCGCCGTTAAAATTGTCCTAAACATATTTTTTCGCATAGAATTTACTTTTTGACACGCGTGTTGCTACCAGACTGTTAATTTTATTTTTTCAATAGCTTTTCAAGGACGGTTTTAGAGACGCGCCGGGAGCGTAGACACGCGATATGCTAAAGTTCATCGTAAGGTTAAATAGAGCATGGAAGGGTTATGAAGGGAAAGAGAAGTGCCAAAGAAAAAAAGGGAACGGTGTTTCGACCAAAAGGTCTTCTTCATGTACACCGAAATTGGAGATGACTGCTCAGAGTATACTATATACAACGTATATACAAAAGGCGGAGGTAACACGTGACAGATGCGATGCCATGGAGTGAGAGAGAGGAG